AAGACAAGTTGAATATTATAATTCGTAATATAAAATCTAGTAGGCTAGAAACTAGTCATGACATTAATAAAAAGATTGACGACTATTTATAATATAAAGGTAAAGATGCCACTAGTACAATCCATGGCTCACATAAAACGGGCTAAAAACAACAAGAATGTGGCCTAAAGGGCACTAGATTCGTTCTGAGACTCGCTTCGGGCGATGTGATAGTCAATATCAGTACAGCGACGACCATCTGAACGATTTTTAAAATAATCTTCGCCGAGGCCACATAACTCGGGATTTAAGAATAATACAATGAGACGAAGTGGCACTACTCTAGGTGAACTACATAAAGTTAACTAGTGCAAGGTACTGGTGCACACAATTGGTGAATGTGACGAAAAAATTAACATAAAATAAACTACAGTCTGTTGTGGGGATGGCGGTGGTACTGCAGCGCTGCGTGGCAAACTGTAGAATGGAAGATTGTCCGTTCATGTCCCGACACGCTCTCTGCGGGGTCACGTGTTGGAGACGCATAGTCTCGCGAGAGTTTTCGTGCCAATTCCGTCATATGGTGGGACCATCTGAACATAATTGTCTCACTCAATAAAGATCAGAGTAGTACTTGGCGGTGACATCTTTATTCATGCGTCGATTTGTCCGTGTTACACGCAAGATGTCAGGCCAGACCGTAGGCGCCAAGAAGACTCTGATGGGGGTTGTCAGGAACGCTGCAGGATGAGTTGTCGCATCCCGGCAGGTACGCGTAGGCGTTGTTCCACGGATGGCCGAAGGTACAGGAGGTCGGCGTCGGATCTCCAGTCCCCGTGTTGCCTCCTTAGTTCCCGTGGTACGCCAGCCTCAAACGCAAGTGTGTACCCGCCTCGACGCAAGTCGTGCAGAGTATGATAGCCTTTAGGGAGACCTGCTTGCTGTACCAACCGGGCTAGTTCTCTGGTGAGTATCGCAGCTGTCATCGGTCGATACTGGTGGTGCCCAGCGGTCGGTAAGAGGAAGGCTGGTGCATCTGCTGGTGCCGGGCATTGTTTCAGCATGTTGGCGTAGGCCGCGACCGGGCACAGCGGGGAGCCTGGGATCATGAGGATCGGAACAATGAGATCTCTCTCGTTGGCTTGAATGGTTTTCGACCATGTCTGGCGGATGAGCAGACCTTCCTCTATGTAGCGTATGTCACCACGCCGAAGATACTTGGAGTTGTCGAGAGCGTTGCGGGAGTTGGGCACCAGATTCGATCTTCTCAAATATGCGAAGAAACCAATCAGAAGTGCTGCCCAAGTGGTGGCGTCCTTCAAGTTCGACAGATCGAGAAACTGGCGTGTCTTCAAAAGGAACTCTGGAGTGACGGGGTGGTGCTCTTTGGGTCTATGTCTGAGGGTCCTTTTCAGTCCTC